TATAAATGAAAATAATGACAGAAATAACAATAACAACAATGATGGCAGTGATGGTGGTAGTAATGATAGCAGCTTCTATTTATTCATGACGATGTTCTAAGCATGTTTTCCCTCAGTTGATGCATCAGCTCTAGAAGTAGGGTCTGCCATTATCCTTACGGAGACTAGACAATTCAGATTCGGAGGATTCAGATAACTCGCTCGTGATCACACAGCTAACATATGACTGTGTGGGTGTGTGAACACTAGTCGATCTGAGTTTATAACTGTGTGATCTTAACCACAATATTATAATCATTAGGAGGAAGCAACTGAGCCCACAGTTATTAGAACCATCAGAAGAGGAGGTTCCTCCCCTGGGTGTTTCCAAGAGGGAGCAGAAAAGAAGCTAACACTGCTCAGTGGGAAGCATCCTTTACTAAGAAAAGCAGGACGCAGTCACAGGTGCACAACTTAACCTGCTTCAACTGACCAACTTCCTTCTACATAGGCCCTGGTTACTGTAAGACAGCTACTTCCTTTGTGGTCTATTTTTATCTCTTTCAGGAATCTCTTTTTTACGTGGGCAACATCATTTTGTTATGATCTGTACAGAGATTGTGATCAGGCACCCATACTCGTGTATTCCTCTACATTTTCCCAGCCTCTCTTGCAGTTAGACTGGCTACATGACTAGGTCTGCTAACAGAATGTGAGCAGAAATACTACTTTTGAGCTGAGGTAGTCAAGCATATGGGGCACATTCCCCACATTCTTTCTTGTTCCCCCATCTACCAGCTCAGTGACAGAGGATGCTGGAAGCCACAAGATGGCAGGACCAAGTTGGCAGTAGCCTGGGTCCTCAGGTTCCCACATGCAGGGCAGACACTTGGAGGAGAGTTCCCCTCGAGACAGCTTGACCTACGTCTGCATGATCTGAGTGAGAAATAAACCTTTACTGTGCTAGGTCACTAGGGTTGTGTGATACCGCAGCACAGCCTAGCCTGTTTTAACTAATACAGGTTCTTTACGAAAAGTATGATTATACAGGTTGTATTGTAGGTAAACGTAGGTGTGGCAATTTGTCTCTGTGTATCTGTGTGTTTGTGTGTGTGTGGTCCAAGAGGAGTGTCCCATAAAGAATGAACAAAGGGAAGGAAAAGTGTAGTCCTAATAGTGGCCGGGTGGCCAATGGGGTCTTCTTTCTGGAGACTGGAGGCTGGACACATCCTCCACTAAAATAGGCTGAAAGGGCATGAGTATGGTTTCCCCTAGTGAACCCAAAGACTACAGATCCTTCCATATTCCGGGAAGGTCTGTCTGAGCTGATGGGGGCAGAGTAGAATATTCTGTTTTAGAATTTTTCAGAACATAATATAGTCAGGGTTCATCACTTGGCACTTTCCTACCCCAGTTGGGTGGCCGGTCAGTTGTCCCGGCCCGCTATTCTTCTAAGCCTGAGGGGTCTTCTAGTCTGGGTATGAGCTGACAGGCTGTAACCAGGGTTGCTGTCCAACTCTAGTGGTACCAAGAAGGCAGCTACCAGAATCACGTGATTTTCATGTTTCAGGAGAAGCAAGAGGTACCACACCAGGCAATGTGAGGGAGTTCTGGGTGCCAGGCCTCTAGAGAACCCCTCCCACAGTCCCTTTACAGATTCCTCCCTGAGTCCAAACACCTTGAAGGGATGTCTTCTTTCTGAATTGCTGCCTTCTTTTTTTTCTTTCCAAGTCACCATCTGCAAGTAGAGTTGCTGTCTTCTAAAGCTGTCTTCTCCTTTTTTCTTATATTTATCATTGAAAAATGGGAATAACCACATCTTCCCAGCTAAACTTTCAAGAGTGAGATGAAGCCAAGAAAGTTTTGCCCAAGTTATTGTGAGTTGGGGGCTTTGTATCATGCTGTGAAAGATAAAACGAAAGCACTCCCTGGTTACATTAGAAGAAATAGTGGAACGCTATGTTTTGATCCTAGCAGCTTGTTGAAAAATGGCCCTTTAAAGTCGAAAGCAAGTCTAGTTAGTGGAAAAGAGAGCAGAATAAAGAGTTATTTGGATGTGAAGAAAATAAAAGGCTTTAGAACAACTGAGAGAAAGATGTATCGGAGTGAACAGTGAATAAAATATTAGGGAAATAAAAGGAGTGAAGGTGACCATTAGTAACAGTTAAAGTAGAAAGAGATAAATCATTGAAAATTGAAGAGGAAAATGAAAAAGGATAAAAGAAATATTACTGTCTGAACAAAGATAGCAGGAAGTCATCTACAGAATAAACATTTCATATAAGCTGCTAAAAGCTGAACACAGAATTGGTTAGATACAAGTCTAGGGTATGAGCATATACTCTACCTGTCAGGTGAAGAGACAACTACTTTCAGACAACTTTACAGAATGGTGAAGAGTATAAATGTGAACCGATTGATTAGGCTGTGTTTATACCTTCTGCAACACAAAACTTCACAATGACTGGTAACCAAAGCTCTTAAATATTGCAAAGATAAAGAAAAAATGTAAAGTGCAAGTGCTATAACACTACTAACCTAGTTTCTTTTAACCTTGATTATTACTGATAACATCAACTTATATTCATTGGTCACTAAAATATTCCTAACCATTTCCTGGACATCTGTTATCTGAGCATTTTTAAACTTCCTAGTTCTGTTTGATTCTTTTCATTTTTCATTCAGAAGTTAGCTTTGGGCATTAGGGTCTTCATTCTGAAAGCAGAAGCCACATCAGTTGCTTGTTTAATCACATTTTTCAGAGATAGAAGGGTTTTATGTTGAACCATAGGAAATGCACAAAAGAAACTGAGAATGAGAGAGAAGGGAGGGAGAGGTGGAGGAGGGATGGGGAGGTGGGGAGCAAGGGAGGGAAAGAGACGGAGAAGAGGGAGAGGGAGAGAGAGATACTACCTTAAAGTATTTGTTGGATAAGTAGCAAAGTCCATTCAACATTTTGAGATTTTTATTTCCTTTTGCAAGTGGAATAGAGCAAAGCATTGCTACTACTATAGTATTTTTGGAAATCCACTTTTTCCAAAACAACATTCAATAGACATTCTCAATCATTTGAAAACTTTCTTCTTCATTTAGGCACAATTAACCTTACCTGCAGGTCTATACTCATCACAACCTATGTTCACTGCTTTGAGACAAACTTAAAAGTGCCTGACCTGATGTGTTCTTTGTATTTTATATAAAGATAGATGAACATATGGTTTTACTAAGAGGGGCTAATCAAATTTTGCTGACCCAACAACTCACACAAAAGCATAAAATCATAAATGTCCTCAATTTTTGTATCACTGACTTTTCCTGAATGTGCTATCATTGATAATCAACCCAGTCCCATTTAGCATTTAGTAGCTTACACAGAACCAACAACCATAACCTACTTAATTGCTTAGGGGATTAAACACACACACATTCACACACACACACACAGACACATACAAAACTGTGATATTCGAATGTACAGTATGGCCTAGTTTAAATTAAAAAGATCCCCCAAAGTATGATTGTTTCCAGCTTCTCAGCAGTGAATTAAAAGCTGTTTGGTGTCGTGAAGATTACAGAAGCAATCACATTTATGGGCCTGCTTTGCATACCAACTCTATTAATTTCCATGCTCAGGGTGGCTTCGCATTTCCAAGCATGTTAACATAGATGCCATTTGGGATAATCACTTGGAAAAAAAGAAAAGGGAGAAAGAGAGAGAGAGAGGAGAAGCGAGGAAGAGAGGAGAAGAGAGGAGAGCCAGAAAAATGGTTCTCGCTAATCAAGTTCTGCTTGAAATATATTGATTCTGATAAATACAGAAATCAAAAGACAAATGAAGGCTCCTGATGGCCTGACCCAAGAGTCATACTGAGATCAAATTAACAGGAAATATCATATTGGAATTCACTTATTGCGCCAGTCCTGTACCTTGTCATTACAGACTCTAATTATTGAAATGATTTCATTGACGTAATTGCATCAAGATGTGTATGGGCTTCACCTTGGACAGCTCCCTTGATGCTCAACAGTGCATCTTCATTATTGTGTTTCTTTCAACTCTTAAAATGTGTCCCAGCTTCACAGAATAATCCAATCAAGCGGGCTGTTTCTTTCTTTTCTTTGAACATAACAGCCACATACACAGAAATGAAGGAATATGGCTAGCCTGGAAGGCAAACCCAAGACTAGAAGGGCAAATGTGGAATCACCTTCCTTAAAAAGACCTTAGAGCATCTGACCAAATTAGATTACTGTTTTCATACCCTTCATTCCCAAGTGTTAAGGAATGGTGCTTGAGAGCCTAAAAGTAAATGATTATTTTCCTATTATCAATTTTAAATTTTATTGTTCTAAAACTATACTCGTTATGCATTTAGCAATGAAAGCTGTGACCTCTTAAAGATAAAATATATAATACTGGCATTAAAATAGAAAGCGATCATAACCACAGATCTGAGGGATGCATATTTTAAGGAAATCAACTGGAATTTTGGGGGATTTGTGTTTAATTCACAAAATAACCAGTAGAGATTTTGAATCATTCTAAAGACCATCTTATTAGCCTTAAGAATAAGTGTTTTTCATTCCAAAGTCTAAGAATTCCCAGAAGCCAATATCATGTTCTCACCATTATTTTGATCTAATGCTACGTATGAGAAACTACAGGTAGAACAGAAATCTCCAGGGAAGTAATGATTTTGCTCTTGGGGGTCTGCCCAGGGAAAATGGATTTCATTTCCATTGAATAGTGTAGAACTCACGTTGGAGGCTGACAGCCTCCTTTTCTGGGAGCAGTCTGGAAATGCTCACTTATGATAAGATCCCAAAAAGAGATATTACCACCCTATTAACCTCTAAGCTGGCAAGGCCCTAATTTAAGAGCTTCCACCCTGTGTCAAGCAGTCATGTAAGAAAAATCAGGGAACAGTTTAGGAAATACCACATACTGAGACACATTCTTAGACATTAGTAAAACCAAATGTGAGAAGAGGCCAAAAGTATCTTCAAGTGACACTGCTTACAGTTTAGAATTGACTGGTCCTCAATGAATTCAGCTGGCTGACTGATATGGAACACTTTCTGTTGAAATCCAGGAGTGCAGTTCAAATCTTCTGCAGATGTTAGCAGCAGCACCTAAGAAAAACCAAAGCCATCAATATTTTAATAGCAGTATATGTGTTTGCCCTGCTAACTTTCACCAAATCTGTGACTTTTAGAAATGAGCTGAGGTTTTAATTTCATATCCCAAATGAAGAGGTAAGTTGATACTTATCCTGTGGCTGCCAACGATTCGTTTTGGCAACGAAATTTGGAAAACGCACAAATGGGAACAGCTGCTGCAGTTTCCATTAAGTTGCAGTTAAAGAAATAACTTCATCAGATTTTTACACCTGCTAAGATTCTCACCATAGTTTCCATGTGTGAAATTTTATTACAGAAACTGTCAATTTCCTATGGTGCCTAAGCTAAAACCAACTTCATTTTCATATGTGCAAAGGAGCCTTGTCATCTATGAAGAGGAAGAAAAAGAAAGTGGAACTATTTTGATGTGAAGTTACTTCTAAAAGGAATTCACGGCCCATTAGATCTTCACCATGGCTCAATATGGTGGCCATGAGTCACAGGTGGCTCCTGAGCACTTAAAATGTAGCTGTCTACAGATTCATTTGTTCCTTTTCCACTCCCACTACTTCACTTGACAAGCCTAACAAACGAAAAAAAAAAAAAAAGTAGCTGTCTGAGATGTTGTAGGCACAAAATACAAATTAGATTTTGATGATGATGAAATAAGAAGAAGAATTTGAAATATCTAATTAATAATTTTATATTAATTACATGTTGAAACAATAATATTTTACATATGGGGCAAACTAAACATAAGTGATATTAAAATTCATTTCACCAGTTTCTTGTTCCTTTTATAAATTTGGCTACTAGAAAATTTAATATCTACAATTGTTTCCCAAGGCCCTCAAATTCTTAAGACAATTCATCCAGTGGTCAAAAAATTAGGTTAGATGCTTTGGAACATGAAAGTATGTGACACCCTCCCGGACAAGGTGTAACTTAGTGAAAATAAGAAACGGTCTTAAGATTTAGTAGGCAAAGACTTTAAGCCCCGTGAAGATAGGGATCACCTCTTCCTGACGTGTTCTTACTGAGCACCTGCCACACACCGGCACAGGGAAGATGCTCTGTAACGCGCAATGAATGAAAGCAAACATTTCTGAGCCCTTATTACATGGCCATCGCTATGCCAAACCCACTATATGCATAATCTCATTGAATCACAGTAGCCCTACTAAGTATGTACTATTAATACATTAATAGATATATTTCACAGTGGGCAGATGTGAAATTCTAGAGAGGTTAACAAGCTTATCCAAGATCACAGTTAGGATGGGTGAAGCCAGAATTCAAACCCAGGCTTAAGTGTCTTCTGATTTGGCACACTGCCAGAGCTCTGCTCATTCCCCTCAGACCTTCCACGTCAGAGGGCAAGACTTTGTGTTTTTTGCCCTGAGATATTACTCTCAAACTTGTGGAAAGCAAGGTGCCAAAAGCAAGTGTTTGGAAGTTGCCGTCACTCCAGGAGCAGCCTTTGACCAATAACCACTGGGAATTGGTGTGTAAATACCCCAGACCCCTCACCCTTCAGGTGAGATGATTTGCAGGCATGAGTTCTATCTCCCAGTTTCCACCTGCAGTTCAGCTCCATTTGTCCAGGATGGTGTCTGGATTGATAACTCACTTTTCATTAGCTGCCTTCTCTTCCTTGGCTCATTTCCTCATCCCCCATTGGTATTTTTCTGAACCCAAGTCCTGCCACCACCCAAATAAACTATTTGCACTCAAATCCTCAACTCTGTCTGTTTTTAGAAAACCAGACTTTAATACCAGACCTCACACTCCGAACCACTGAACACGGGCAGTTGAGGAAAATTCATTATCCTCTCCACCAGCAAATTCAAAGGAGTGTACAAAAGGTTGGAAGCTGTGGAACCAGGGCTTCTCTCTAAATATCAGCCCTCTGAAATGCACTGAACCCTGAGGAAGGAGAGCAAGAATCAATCTCAGGAGGTTCACAGTGTGGCCGGCCTGAGCAACATCAGAAAAATTGAAACAGGGGAGTCATCACCCTGACCGACATCATCTCTCTCAAATCAAAGGGGGAAGAATGCTACAGTCCAGTGCCTGTGCTGTTCGGCTTGTGAAACTTTCCCTTGTCTTGAGAACAGGCTCTAGTTAAATCACTTCTGAAGCAATCATAATGCTGGCATCCCAAGTGGCATGCACACAGAATGCAGATTCAGGTCTCAGAATAATGTGCTGGCAATTTTGCAAGCAGAAAATCTATTACTGGCCAACACTAATTTAGTTAAGCAGCAAATGGTCAAGGGTCGCCTCCAGGCACCCAGTGCCTACAATTATACAATAATCTTCTAATTGGCTAATTCTGCTCTCAAAACCCAGACCAGTAAACCGGGCATCCCACTGGTACGAAGGGAGATGAAATTTCTCCCAGGAGACTGAATGCAAAAATCCAGGACCGACTGAGAAAGAGCACAGTGATGAGGAGCACGACGCTATGCGTGAGTTGTGTTCTCCATCTCCGTTCATTTATGACTCAGGCTCTGTCCTGATTTCCTGGCAGGGTCTATTCAGGGCTCCTCTGGAGTTATCAAGAAACAAATAATTTTTTTTCCAGCCACTGACCATTAGGGAGTGGTGGGAGAATTCTCAAAGGCACAGTTTTGTCTTTACAAATTCTTGACTCACTCCATCTATCAGTCAAAACTCAGGTTAAATGATTTGTAACATAAAAGTACACAGTGCCCTCCTGGGCAAGGGGTGACTTAGTGAGGTAGGAACTAGTCAAATCACTCATTCATTTACTCCACCCCTCATACAATATTCATTCAGTGATTCACAAATGCTTATTAAACTCCTGGGATTCAATGAGGACTTTGCTAGACATTGTCCAGGAACAATTAGAAAAGTGCTGTACAGGATAAGTAGTCAAGTGTTAAATATTACTATGGTCGACAAAGGAAGAGAGGCATTTAAAAAAATCATAATTCAATTAAAGTTAAAATTTAACTCGAAAGGATGATGCAGGTCTCTCAGGAACATGTAAAGTTTGGGGAGGAGGGTAGCCTAACCTTATCTAGGGCTATCAAGAAAGCAAATCCACAGAAGGGACATTTCTTCTGTCATCTCGACAGTAAGAATTAGCTGGGTAAATGGAGAGAAGTATAGACTCGTCTTTTTAACCAATACACTCTTCGCTTTGAATACCTTTGTGGCTCTCTGGGTTTCATGGAACGCATGTCTGAAATTACAAAACTGCATTTAAAAAAGATTCCAGACTAATTTAGGGCTTTCCAAAAGTAGAATGTCTTACTGGTCAGTAGTGGTAGAATGTTCTAGTTACTGCTATTGCCCCTTGATTTCTTAGCAGTATCTGTGCCACTGATACCCACTCTTCAATTTCAATCACACTGAATTTGGTGGGGGGATATAAAGCAGCACCCCCCATTGTTGTAAGGATTAGTACTTGGGCATTACTCCAAAACCAGGCAAGCCCTTCTCCTACATTATCAGATATTACACATATAAAGATACTGCCTGGACACACTTTTCCCCAAACCCTCTTTAACTTTTCCAGAATATATGCTATGAGAAACATTCCGAATTTCTCTTTAATGCCATGGCAATAACAATCTTCCTATGAAGTCCTTCTGTCCATTTATGCATTAGCTAGTACCTCATAAGCAATAGGTAACCAATACACCTGTGAAAGCACCAGCAATTATCAGTTCATGATCATCAAAGGATTTCTATTATTTGAAAATTACAACCAGCCTGCTAAGAGAATCCAGGCTTATAAGCACAGGTCTGAGCCACACTGGTTGAGTGCAAATCCTGGTTCTGCCAGTTACCAGCTGTGTGACCTTCTGTGTCTCAGTTTCCTCAGCTGTAAAATGGGAGTAATGATATTTTACAGATTGTGAGGATTAATGAGTTAATTATTGTAAAGAGCCTTCAGTAGTACCTGGTATATAGTGATTGCACAAATGTTTGCTACTATTATTATTATTTATATACTATATTTAAACCCATATACATGATTCACTGATATTTCTCAGGGAAGACATTGACAAATAGCACCAAAATATTACTTTTGTTGCTACTATACACTCCTCAGTACATCAACTGCGCTCAGAAGTATGCAAAGAGAAACAGCAGGGACCTGCGTCAGAGAGACGGTCAGGAGACATTTGCCTCTCGGGTCAGCTGCGCAGTGAGAACATCAGCGCCTGTTGTGACTGAGTCGTGCTACCTTTGTAGGACACCAAGCATCGCTAAAGCGGCAGCTCAGAGATCTGTCCTCCACGCAAGTGCCACTGCCCTAAATTTACGCACGGAGAGCAAATCCTTACATCATCCGCTTTATACCTGGGTTCCCCTTTTAGCTTCCCTTTCTTTGCTGCAGCACAGAACTCTCTATCTTAAAAAGAAAGGGTTTATGTTTATCCTGACAGGTACTGATTCAAGGATATAGCCAACTTTGGAGTTTGCTTCCAGGGAAAGGATTCTTTTCTCTCTCCCAGACTGCAGGTTGCCAACTGGCAGCATATGGGATGGATGTGGCCAGCAGATGTGGTTAGTCTAGCCAGAGCGGTCTGTCATGAAGTTAAATTATCATGTTATATAGAGTGTGCCTCTCCAAGCTGTCCTTGTCGGCACCACCCCCTACGTTATTGTTCCTGTTCACTTGACTTAGTTAAACACTCACCTGGCTGTCTAGGCATCTGAGTTGGCAACCTATGCTTCAGTGTTAGGAAATAAGCTCTTTGAGCTAAGAACCCTCCTTGCTATTAGTCTTTGGCTACTTGTCACAATGGGTCCTGCACCTTGTGCTGCTGGCTTCCTGCAATAATTTTGGCCACAGGACTAAGCACTAGTCAATAGAACGAAGGTGAAAGAATGTTCCACTTCTAGATCTGGCCCCTGAAATGCCCTGCATTATATTCTCTTTTCTCCTGTCCATGAAAATAGAAAGGAAGGACTCCAAAGATGGTGGAGTCTTCCAATAGAGCAGAGCAGTCGATCACTGCCTAGAGGAGAGG